GGCCTCGGCGGAGGGCTCCACGCTCGGGGAAGGGCGGCCCTGCGCTCTCCGGGCGTCCCCGCGGGGTCTCTGTGTGTCCCCGTGCGCCGTCCCTGAGTCCCCATGCGCCACCCGTGCGTCCCCGCACAGTGTCCATGTATCCCCATACACCATCGTTACGTCCCTGCACACTGCCTGTGTGTCCTCATGAACCAACCCCAAGTCCCCACACACTGTCCGTGTGTCCCCATGCACCATCATGTCCTTGCACAGCGTCCATGCGTCCCCATGAACCATCCTTGTGCCCATGCACCCTGTGTCCCTGTGCACCATACATGTTTCCCTGTGCACCATCCGTACGTCCCAACAAGCTCTGCATTTCCCTGCACTTTTTCCATGTGTCCCTGCACATCATCCCTGTATCCTCATGTGCCATCCACGTGTCACCACCATCCCTGCACACTGTCCGTGTTTCCCTGCGCACTCTCTGCATGTCCCCACACACTCTGTGTTTCTCCACGGACCATCCAGGTGTCCCGGCACAGTCTCTGTCCCTGGATGGGATCCAGCTGCCCCTGTGGAGGCACTTGCTACACACGCTCAATCCTGCCCGGAGCACCATGGCTGGGTATAAGCATGCGCGGGTGCACGTGGCGCTTGGGTGGCACCAGCTCGGGAGTATCCCCGTGTTCCTGGGACCGAACGGCACTGGCAATCGTTATCCCGCTACACAAACATCCGTCCTTGCTTCCTTGCTGCCCTGTGGGGCCACCTGGGTGGCTCCTGGAGGAGCTGCAATCTAAAGGTCAAGATCATCATTCTCAACTCTTGGCATTTCAGCTGCAAACATCTCGGTCTCCGGTTTCATGATAGCTGATGCAATTTTCTTACACGTGGTGCTTTCATACCTGGCAAAAACTATAGTGAAGACAGAAATCAAACTTCTTGTGCACAAGCTTTAACGGGCCAAGAATGAGACTTAGATTAAAAACATGGTGAAACATAGCACGTACATAGTACAGTGAGATTTGTGTGAGATTTTTTGTGGTGTTTGCTTTCATAACCCTTACTTGGATTTTTGCTTTTGCTTTTCACGTCCTTTAAAGAAAGCACATTTGTCCTTAAACTTAGCCAGGATATATGTCACCTGCCCTACTGTATTTTCATGTGATGTGAGATGCAGTTAAACAGGGATCCCCCAGGGCTCAGCAGGCTTAAGAATTCCCAGTGTCCTGAAAACGTGTCTGCATTTCACTGTTTGACACCGGAACTGTATTACAGCTGTTCTCACTAGTAAAATGATATGTACCAACACTTCTCGCTTTTGAAGGACACTGCTAACAGGAACATGATGGCATACATCGCAATAATCTGATGCAATGTATTGTCACCTCCCTCCATTTGAAGAATTTGCTCAGTACACAGCGTCTTACAGATGGTGCCCATCAGGAGAGGTTCACTGTACGTTTGTATTTCTGTGCTGCAGTCCTGTTTATTCGTGTGCAATGTGCAAAGCCTCATTCTGCTGACCTGTGTAAGAGCCGAACAACAGGAGAGCATTTCTCTGCTCATAGCTCCAAGCTGCTAAGCATATCCACCAAAAGACATTTTCTACTTTTTCTGAAGATTATTGCTACATATTCTTCATTAGCTATCTCTTCATTTTTCCTTGCACTTCAACACAGTCTGACATACTTCTAGCTTGTTAGATGGATTTCTAATTACACCATATGCTGAGATCAGCATTTTCTATGCAAGACCTATCAATTGTGCTGGAAATTGCAAAGATAAAATGGACGAACAACCTGGGTGAAACACAAAATGTGTAGAAGTTTATAGAGGTGATACATAAAAACATGGGGAAAAAATATCCAGTGTAAATTAGTATGGAAATAGAAGCAGCAGGTTGGAAATACCCAATCTGTGAACCAACAGTTCTGTTCCAGACATGTATTAAGCTTCCCCATCTTGGGACAACTGACACAGGTTTTGATTCAATACTGAGGCAGGGGAAAGAACCTATTTAAGGAAAAGCAGGTTCTGTCATTTCAGCCACCTTTGGAGAAGCCCTTAAAAGTTAAAACTGCAGGTCCTGCAGGTTCACACCTCCACATTCCCTGAAGTCCAGGGATCAGAACACATCAATAGGTTTGCAGGTGATGTATGCAAGGGCTTTGCATGTATGCCATATGCACTGTGTCCAGGAGAGGGAGATATTGGCAAACAGCTGAGGGAATCTGGAAAAGCCTTGGCCTCTTGGGAGAAATTTGTGAACGGTCCAAGAGCAGAGCAGGGAAAAGAGGTGTTGTGTCTGCTGACAGAGAGGAGGAGTGGACCTGCTGCATCAGAGCCGTGCAGATGGGGAAAGAAAAAGAAAATGTGTAGAGAGGTAGAGGGGAGAGTTTTCTGGGACCCAAACTGGGAGAAAGACCCACACAATCCTCCAGCACAGGGGGATGAGTTAAATGACAGCATTGCAAAGACAAGGTGATGCAGGAAAAGATCAGTGAGCCTTTTCAAAGATGGGCATATGTGTTGTGGTGGTGCAACCCGTGAGCACCGTGCTCGGGAACAGCGTGCCCCGGGGCTGTGCTGGGTCTGGGCACGCTCAGCTGTGCCCCAGCACTGCTGCCCCTCGTGTCCCCAGCACTGCCGCAGCACTCGGCAGCCTCCTGCGCCCGTGTCTGCCGGTGGTGCCGGAGGGCTGGGGCTGCAGGGGCAGCCTCCCTGCCTAGGCCGTGCACCTCTGCAGCACCCTCAGCTCCGAGGAGCCTCCCTGCCTACGCCGTGCACCTCTGCAGCACCCTCAGCTCCGAGGAGCCCTCCTGAAGGGCAGGTTTTCTCTGCTATGTTGACTGCCCCTGCTTTGCAACCCTGTCTGCGCAGAAGCATTCACAGGATGTGACCATATGTGTGTGTGGATCTGTCCTGTGATCCTGATGTACTGACCATGGTGCCTGGCTCATCAGGCCTGTGCATGGCTATTCGGTTTGGGTGAGAGGCGTCTCTGTGTCAGCCTGTAAACTCTTCCATGTGAAAAAGTTGTATGTCTCCATTAAGCATGAAAATAGACATAGAAAAGTTGAGAAGACACATTTTTCGTTCTTTTCACTAAATAACATCTTGGGACAACTGAAGAAAAATGGAACTCCTCCACTTTGTAAGTGGCTTTTTTTTTTTTTCCTATTTCAAGACTTCACTCTGGCTGATGATAACAAAAACCCCCTCCCTTTCAAAACCATGAGAACCTAATCATGTACCCAGAGTGAAGAGCTGCAGAGTCGTTTGTATTTTGGAGGTCTGTCCTGCCATGAAGGATCAAGCATTTCTTGCCTGGGATGAGCAAGACGGTTAGTGCATCTCTGTGTCCAGGCCACAGAAACCCGGAGTGGTTGTTCAGAGTGAGCTCTTGCTTCCTGGTGGTGGTGAATCCCCCTCAGGAGCGTGTGAGTGTCCATACGGGGGAGCTCTGACAGAGCTGTGCTGCAGATGGGCAAGTAGATTCCAAGTAGTGCTTTCATTAAGAGTTTTGTTTAGAAAATATCTTAATAGCTTTGTATTTATTGAATAATGGCCACATAGAAGATATCTATTCCAGGAAAAGCTCACTGGGATTAGCTAAATAATTGGAATGGCAGAAAATGTCTTTTCTTTCTGACTGAGCATGAGAGGACAAATACTTTGCTTGGATTTGGCTCCTGTATTTCATCCTTCTGATTCTACTGCAACTCTTGCTCTCTCATTTCTTTTGGACAGTAAAAAACAACTGAGCAGAAAGCAGCATTTGAGGGAAGCATGCAGGCATCAGTGGTCTGTGGATTTCAGTTCCATTGTGGTAGCAATTTGCACACAATTTCAGTATTGCTACCTGCAAAGTGATCAAATAAGGGAACAGACTCTATAAAGCATGGCAGTGACTTGGACTGTTGTGGGTCTCCTCTTCTTGCACTGCTCTATATTGGAAGAACCTCTGTGTAAACTGGTAAAATTGCAATGAAGGAAGAGAAAACAAACATACAATCAGGCTTTGGTTGAAATAATTCAGAGAAAAGAAAATGCTTTGCAAGAGAACCTTACTGTGTTATAAAAACATTGTTTTCTTACCATAGAGCACCAATATTGACTATATAGCAGGTGTGAGAAGTGTTGATGAAAAACTAAGAAAACTCATGAAAATCAGGGAAACTTCAGAGGCCTTCATGATTTTCCATAACAAGACATAAACGATCTATTGTGTTTTTTACTGTGAAAAATTACTAGTTGAGGTCAATGTAGCGGAAAAATAAGAGTAGAGGCAGGCTTGCTGCATGCACAGGCTTGCTGAGCTGGTTCAGTTTCTTATTGAATTGGTCACAGAATATAGTTTCTATTCAAACTCGCACAAAACAAAAGCATCTGTCATACTATATTTTAACATGGGTGTTGTTTCCTGTCAGTTTATTTTTGCAGGAAATATACCTAAAAAAGTCACACCTGGCTCCTCTAGGGTTTCCAGCCTCTATCTGACAGTGACACTGATAGGACTGAACTGCTTTTAACCATTTCTACATTTCTTTGTGTCTAAAATCCTGCTGATCTGAGGAGACCTGGTCACTTCTTCATGTGTATAGAAACTGCTTCAAGGTTTGGCCCTTTGATGCCATTGGGGAATGCAGAAGCTGAGTATCTCCCAAGCTCATGCGT